AGCGGGACTACTGGGATTAGAACTGGCGCCCATATGGGATACTAAGGGCTCTCAAGATGAGGACTTTAGCCGCTAGGCCACTGCACCAGATCTGGAAACATTGTTTAAAATAGCAGACTAGGGCCCGGCACGGTGGCGCAGTGGTTAAGGTCCTCGCCTTGCACGCCCGGGATCCCATATGGGCGCCGGTTCTAATCCCGGCAGCTCCGCTTCCCATCCAGCTCCCTGCCTGTGGTCCTGGAAAGCAGCCGAGGACAGCCCAAAGCTTTGGGACCCTGCACCCTCTGGAGAGGCTCCTGGCTTCGGATCGGCATAGCATCGGCTGTTGCGCTCACTTGGGGAGTGACTCATCGGACGGAAGATCTTCCTCTCTGTCTCTCCTCTCTGTATATCTGCCTTTCCAATAAAAGAAAAAATAAAATAAATCTTTAAGATAGCAGACTGTAGAATAGAAAAAAATGGTGAAATTGTAGATAAGGTTGAAGCATAACTCAGAGTTGACTTGTGCGAGGCCCAAATGTCATCTAAATGAGTTTGTGATGTATTCTATGCAGCACACTTTTTTTTTTTTTCCAGAAGTACATTTCACAGGGGTTGCTGCTCCTTTTAGGGTAAGATCAGTTAAATTAAGTGTAGGTTTAATAAAGGGTGGTCCTTAAATGTGCCAGTTTGAATTGTGATGTCTTGGATATTGCTTTTCTATTTTTCTTGTTTTCTGTTTCTTTTGAAAAATGAGGACTGCTCCAGCTTGGCACTTAATAAGTTAGCCAATTCTAATGTTCCAGGTAGACGCGAAGCCCCACAAGCCCATGCAATGAGGAAAATATCCAAAGAGCCTTCAAATTCTTCACTTACAATATGGGAAACAGCTGTAACATTTTCAAGGGCTCGAGGGAGAAAAGTCATCACAGTTGTGTTTTCCTGATCGAGAACTTGCTGTCTTACTCAAATCAAACTAAAATAGACTTACACACGGAATAACTATATATAAGGGGCAAACGCAAGGACCGACATCTAACTTCTGTTTATTGCATAACATTACCTGAGCTCACCTGGAAAGAAGGTGCCCCACTTCCTTGAAAGCCCCTTCAGCCTGCTTGCATAGTCAGGGGGACCAGTGTGTGGAACTATGGCTGAGAGTTCAGACTGCCTGGGTTTGAATCTCAGCTCTGCCTCTGCCTAGATGTGGGATTCTTACCATGTGTGTGACTTTAGGCAACTAAGTTAAGGTCTTTCTGCCTCCGTTTGGCTCATCTGAAAAATGGGAACAAACAGCATATTTACCTTAGAGACCTATGGTAATACAAGTAATAAATGTTGCATGGGGCCAGTGAGGAGCAGGATATTCCTCTGCCTGTGGTGCTGGCATCCATGTCTTGGTCGCCCCACTTCTGATTCAGCTCCCTGCTTGTGGCCTAGGAAAGCACTGGAGGATGGCCCAGGACCGTGGGCCTCTGAACCCATGTGGGAGACCCAGAGGAAGTCCACGGCTCCTGGCTTCAGCCCAGCTCTGGCCGTTGTCGCCATTTGGGAAGTTTGCACATGACAGATGCCTCTCTCTCCCGTCTTCTCTCTGTAAATCTGCTTTTGAATAAAAATAAATCAAACTTAACAAAATAAATGTTGAATCTTAACAAACACTGTCTACTATTACTGTTATAATACTGAATTTTCTACGTAACAGAAGAGAGCTGAGCCCACTTCAATTTGTTCTTCCTTGAACACTGCTACTTCCCCTAGCTGCACAAACTGGGTGCTCACAGCTCATCTTTAGGGGATATCCTCCCCCACCAAGCTTAGCTTCAAGTCATACTCTCCTGTTCTCCCTGGATATTCTTTTCTGTGGCCAACAATACACAAATTCATTAATAATCCTAGCTCATTTACATTCGCATTACTTTCTCTCTGGATCACTTCCAATTTTTGCCCAAATGATAATTATAGAGGCATTCTTGGCATCTAGAATTTGAGACAAATAGAAAGACAAATTGGAAATCGAAGTGAACTCTGTCCTGCTGGGGTTGGTGCAGTGAGAAAGGAGGACCAGGGACCGGAGTGGTAGCCCAGAGGCTAAAATCCTTGCCTATGCATGCGCCAGTCCCATACGGGCGCCAGTTCTAATCCCAGCAGCCCCACTTCCCACCCAGCTCCATGCTTGTGGCCTGGAAAAGTAGTCAAGGACGGCCCAAAGCCTTGGGACCCTGCACCCATGTGGGAGACCTGGAAGAAGCTCCTGGCTCATGGCTTTGAATCGGTGCAGCTCCAGCCATTTTGGCTGCTTAGGGAGTGAATCAGTAGACAGATCTTCCTCTCTGTCGCTCCTCCTCTCTGTATATTTGACTTTCCAAAAGATAATTATTTATTTTCACTTGAAAGGGAGATTTCCACTTGAAAGAGAGGAGAGACAGAGAAATATTTTCCGTCTACTGATGTGACAATCTGTGAGGTGTTTGTGTAGATAGCTTTCTGGCTATTGTGACATGCTGTGGTCACAAGGAAATATTAATGACTTCAACATACCAAGGCATGTCTGCCACCCTCGCTGCAATTTGATGGCATCCTATGGTGTTGCTAATGTGCTTTCCTCCAAATCATTTGCCTACTTACACGGAGTTCCTTCAGCAGGCCAGCGGGGCATCAGTAAGCCAGCAAAACTTGCTATATGAAAGAGAATCTTCCATCTGCTGGTTCGCTCTCCAAATGCTTGCAATAACCGGTGTGGGGTCAAGCCAAAGGCAGGAGTTAGGAACTCCATCCAGGTCTCTGATGTGGGGTGCAAGGGTCCAGGGACTTGAGCCGTCAATCGCTGCTTCTGAAGGTGTGCGTTAACGCCTGGATCAGAGGTGGAGATGGCCTCACCTCCAGCATGGACTGCAGGCACTGCAGAAAAACATCTGCCCCACAGAGGTTATTAAAGATACCCCATAACCCCCAACCCTCCCCTCTTGCCCCAGCAGTGGCACTCTCAGCTGATGCCAGTAAGTGAAAGGGAAAGAATCAGAAAGATACTGGTTGGTCCAGGGTTAACAATGACATTTTTGAGCTATTTTAAACAGACAAGTAAACTCTGGAACCAAGCAGTTAAAACTAAGTGGTCACACATCAGTTATCTATATTTATATGTGTTTGTGGCTCATACTTCCTTTTGATGATGATTCTAAAGACAAGTGGGGTTTTTTTTTAAAGGATCAAGAAATTTATGTCCGTTTTGCTCTTTTGTGGTTTTCTTCTAAATCCAAAGGCAGCAGGAAAATAGTGGTTTTTTACACACACACACACACACACACATACACCCAAAGATTTTCCCAAGGAAGTTATCAACTATTAGTATTTGTATACAAAATAATGTCTGAATGCATAGAATTCTTGTGTTCTACTGCTGACTCCAAAAGAGTGAAAATATTTATCCCCCAAGAAGTACTCCAGGTAACCCTTTTTGCACAGTGGAGTGTATGTGTGTGTGTAAAGAGTTTGTTCACATGGGCTTGTTCAAAACCTATGCCAGTATAGTGCAATAAACTGAATTCCACAAAATGAGCTGTAAGTGGCAGGCTTCTACCAGCAAGAGACGATTGTTGGAAGAAATCTAGGGGCAATGCTGGGGCTACGGAATTAATGATAACGGCTCCAGACAGGAAATGTTCATTTATAACCATGTGGCCATCAGGGTCTCCTTGTAACACTTCTAATTTTTTTTTTCTTTCGTCAAGAATACCAGGCAGGTTTTGGTGGTTAGTGTTCAATCTTAAGACAAGGAAGAGACACTAAATTAATGTTTAATTTATACCCAGTGTGTATATCTGTTTCCACTGTTCCCCTAATATAACCTGTGCATAGAACAATATAAATTGTCTCCTTATCACTGGATGACCGTATCCATCAAACTCCAATGATGTGATCTCAATTTGAAACCCAAAGAGAATTACAGACACCAATAATTATCAGTCACATTTTTGAAAAGAATCATTTCTTCAAAAGCAGCATTATTATTTTAATAAAACAATCACTGAGGGAAGAAAACTTCAAAACAAATGAAATCCATTACTGATTTAGTGGCAACATGAAAACAAAAATTGTTTTCTTCTGGGATCTCTGGTCCATAAAGGGGCTCTGGTCATATGTTGGTTTTCTCCTGTCTGAAGGATCTGTTAGTGACCACGTGCGTGGGTCAGCTCACTCTGGCTGTTCCTGCTCTAAGCACAGTTCTGCGTCAGCATCCGTAACAGAGATTCAGATAGCTTTGGCGCATGATCCAGATAGGCACAGGGACTATACAATACCAATTCATTCATTTTTCTAAAAGGGGGCAGAAATTCTACATTTAGTCAATTTGAAGGGGAAGTTGATTTTGTATACATTTCTAATATCAGAAGTATTCAATAAAATAAAGTGCCAGATTATTTTTAGAAATCCACGCAGAGCCCAGTCATACTGACGTAAGTTCACTGGTTAACACAGAAAATAATTTTAACTTTCTTGTCTCTCTCCAGCTTTACTCACTTTTCTGAAGGCTTAAAAAAAGCAGCAAAGTCCTGGAAACAAAATAGTTCATTCTAAGTTCGACATCCATCGGTCCAGCGGGACAAGCACACCAGTCATTTGCACAGGGGTCGTTTGCACTAAGAGCAAGAAAACACCCCTTTTCTCTATAAAAACACTACCGTAAAGTCTTTTAAAAGTCAATACATAGGGCCCAGCGGCGTGGCCTAGAGGCTAAAGTCCTCGCCTTGAACACACCAGGATCCCATATGGGTGCCAGTTCTAATCCCGGCAGCTCCACTTCCCATCCAGCTCCCTGCTTGTGGCCCGGGAAAGCAGCTGAGGATGGCCCAAAGCCTTGGGACCCTGCACCCGTGTGGGAGATGTGGACGAGGTTCCTTGCTCCCAGCTTCGGCCGTTGTGGTCACTGTGAATCATCGGACGGAAGATCTTTCTGTCTCTCTTCCTCTCTGTATATCTGACTTTATAATAAAAATAAATAAATCTTTTTTTTTTTTTAAAAAGTCAATATATAATACTGAAAAGCCATATAAAGGTAATCTAACAAGCATTTCATTTTGAAGTGAATGTTCTTTTGCTTCATTAGGTTTTTGATACTGACACCGTGCGTAAGCTCACGTGCTCTGTGTCCAGTGTTTTAGATGCCGGGCTCTATGCCGTCCGCAGATATTATTCAAAAAAGGATCAATTCACAGTTCCTTACAGACCAAAGTATAAACTGGTTAGAAAATAAACGTGCTGCAAACTCAGGAAACCGCCGTAAACCTGCTGGGGAAAGGCCGGCTCGGCATCTTTTGAAGAAGTTGTCTGCAAGGCTCCAGTCAGTCCCAGCTTCCCTTCTTTTCGGCGATGATGCACCAGTTGCCGTGGTCATTCCCAGAGCTGAGGATGCGCAGCTCCGACACATGCTCGGTCAGCAGGCTGCAGAGCTCGCCCTCGCGGAACACGTGGTAGTAGCGCATGAAGGCTTCGGGATCCGAAGACTGCTCTTCTGGGAGGGAAATCGTGTCCTCCGAGTTAGAATCTGCAGAATCCAGCGCGGGAATCTTGCTCAATAGTGTACTGGCAGGAGGGTCGCCTTCCTTTAAGTCAGCTGCGTGTGGACAACTGTCCCTGGAGTTAGCGCTCTCCAGAAAATCCCCACCTCCATGTCGCTTCCCTCCTCGCTGAGGGTCTCCATTCAGATGCTTCAACGCGCCTGGTACGCCCAGCCACTCCAGAGGCTTCTGAGAAGACGCGTCCTCAAACACGTCCTCCTCGAGGTTTTGCTCCACTGTGAAAAATGGCTCTTGGGGCTCGAAGTCGCAGCTGGGGAGTCTGGAGGGTTGGACGGACACGGTGCCGTTGGCCCATTCTTCCGTGTTCCTCAAGGGTTTCACTCTCTCGGTTTGCTTCCTCAGAGAGGATTCATCCAAGGATCTGGATGAAAACCAGGAACGGAACGACTTGCCTAGCGCATTATAGAACCCATTGTCCTCCTTAGAAACAGGCGCACAGCAGCTTGCCGCCGTGACAGGTGCGTAGTCCACGCTGTGGGACCGCCTTGATGCACACGGCTTCTTGAAACAAACGGAGCAGCCGCAGTTGGAGCAGGGAGGGTGGGGGGTCCGGCTAGTCTCCCCGTGTCCACACAGCCTCCTTCTACCCCACTGGCCGCACTCTGAGAGGGGCTGGGAGCACAAGGTCCTGTCCCAAGGAATGAGCACGTCTTGCTTCTCAAAGTGTCGATTCTTCTGTTCCATTGCCCAGACATAGATCATCAGCCGGCCACCGGGGACCAAGACCCGGGCCATCTCTTTTATTGCTCTGATTCTCCTCTGTTTTGTGGAAAAGTGATGTATGACTGAAGAAAGAAGAAACTATATCTCAGTATGTACACATACAGCAACATCCATATTTGTAAATTTATGCTTTCAATATAACAATAAGGACACAGGGACACAGAGTAAAATCTGATCTCCTGGAAGGCCAGGTGATAGAGACAGCATGGGCCTGGCAGTAGCAGATAGCTTCTCCTCCTGGACTTACTGGTGTCCTGATCTTGAGAAGTTTTTCAGGTTCTATAGGTTTTAAGCATCTTTGTCTTTAACAAGAAGGCTAGATATAAATTATCCACAAGGTAATTTGTTAATTAACTTGCGTTAATGAGCAGGGTGACCCAAAAGGGAAACTACGATGAGCAAATGTCCCCTGAAAAAACTGACACATTGCTTAAATCAATACCGACACTTCTAAAGCCATGACGGGTGAACATCACTAATCAGCGTTAATAAGATTAATCCAGCCCACAGAAAAAATGTTTCAGATTATTTTTCTGTTTAGACAATGCAAAGATAAGCCTATTCAAATGACTGCTTAGAATTTACTAAAATGTTCATATTATCCTAATTGTGTCTCTCACTCAAAAAAAAAATTGATGGTAGGCCATCATTTTACTGCTATGCAAAGTCATGCATGAGATTCAAGCAAGACTATCTGTATGCAATCAAGTGTCCTAGGTATATTCTTGTGCAACTACGTAGAGAAAAGTACTGGCCTGTTAGTTCCTGGGGAGTTGGGGCACAGTGTTCTGCAGAAAATATCAAATGGTTTTTCTACACACAGGCCTACCACATATCCCAGGGAAAGAAGTAGCCCCAAGCAAAGCGGGGGCCTCCTCTTCTGACAGAAACGGGAGGGCAGAGATGGAGCAGGCTGAAAATGCACCCCTAATGCAGATCACACCTCCTCTATTGCTGGTGATTTTCAGCAAATTAATCTCAGTTGGTTATCTGCCACTTGGACACATGCACTATCTAAAGCGAGATTCTCTACGGATGAAAGGGCTGGAGGAGGATCAGGCAACAGGCGCCCCTCTGTTGTTTTTCCATCAGTTGCAGCAGCAGGCTCCACTGTGCAGCAGCGTGAGACAGCTTCGGGTGTGAGCATAAGGTGAGCTTAGAGGCTGAGACCTCATGTCCTTCCTCGTAATCCATCAGGAAAGAGCCAATGATCTCTGACCAGTCCCTACCTTGCTAAGCCCCACAGCACTCCCCAGGGAAGAAACCTTTATCATGATTCACACGGAGGCATATATTTCTAGAAATAGTGTCTTGGGCAGTGAGCTGAAAGGAAGCTTAGCATTCAGGACTGAGAAAAACTCTGCAAATCTCTCGTATTCACATCCACACACGTCGTCATGGTGCTGCTGTATGTTCAATGACTTGCATCTCATTCACTCCAGAACTTTCATAAATGCAGTGTATTTTAATTATTTGTGAATTGTGTATTTGCCAATATGCCCATTTACTAGAATTTCTCTAATTCCCCAAAGTTAATACTCCCAAGATTTTGTGGTCATTCAATTACTTGGTGGCTATTTACACCTCCCAACGCTTGTGTTCTCAGCTGAGATTTGGAATAATCTCTACTTTCGTTTCATTCAAATACAGTTAACAAGTGTTCTCTTCATGGACTATTTTAGTGCTCTGCTTTCCGCACCTTGGCACTTGTTGGTGGCAATTTTACTAACTAAAAAATGACTGGAACAGAGTGGGATGTGCTATTTGGTGTCCTAAGGAGAAAGAACCCTCTGCTAGGCTATGCAGAGGAAACACAGATAAGCTTTACTCAGTCCTGAGTTCCAGTGTTGTTGGCATGAGTTTGAAATGAACGTGTCCTTGACATAAAAACACACAGAGCAGGGTTAGGCGATAAGCAGTCAACAAAGATGCTAAGACCAGAGCCTCACTCGCAGGAACCTGGTCCTGAGACCCTGCCTTCCCTGAGCTCACGCATTCAGCGCTAACTACAACTGCTGTCAGCAATGACAACTGATCATAAAGATGAGGAAATTAATACAGGACTGTTTTATTACAATTTTGAAAATATAGACTCATACACTTTCCTTTTATAATTCTATTGGGCTTCAAAGCATCCATGTTTTTTTAAAAGGAGGAAAGTCCCCATTCATTCGTTAATGAGTAAGGGGTCACTCATTTCCATTCATTTGAGAATACCATCATTTCACCCAAGGAATATCCAAATCTCTTGTAGCATGCTTTATATTTAACAGAGATTAAAACATAAAATGCATTTAAACATGCTGTATTTTGCATGCAATAACTAACAATTTTGAACCAAATGATTTTTTGGCAGAAAGATGTTTACAAGTGAAGATTTTAAAATTACATGTAAAACGTGTTATATACACATATGCATTAATAAGAAACATTGTAAATAATTAAAAAGGGAATATAAAGATATGTTTATCTGAAATATCACTGGCAGGAAAGTCAATGAATTTTTAAAAGACAAAATTGTGGTTTTTTTTTTTTGTCTAAAAAGCATAATTATAACTGGAAAGCAAAGGTAGCATCCAGTATATGCTTCCTATGGCGGCAGGTTCTTATTGAAAATTCACGAAACAGATTGTAATTAATGACTGCCTTTCAGAATCAGACAGAAAGTTACACAAGGTCACCTGTAAAATCCTGTTACCTCTTGGTATTAAATGATTTATTATTATTTACCTTTTTGAGTATATATATCTCCTCTGTAACTATAAACATTCAGGATTCTCAGGTTTACCATCAAGCAGGTCTTTCAACCTTAGCGCTATTGACTTGTGGACTAGATCATTCTTTCTTGGGTGGACACTTGCCAGGGGCATGAGCCTACATGCACACACCCAGTGGCGAGGACCGAAAATCCCTCTGGGTGTTGTCAAATGTTTTTGAGAAGGGGAGCTGGGCAGAAAGCAACACAGGTCCCAACTGAGGACCCCAAACTAAAGCTGAAGTTGACTGACACTTATCTGACACGTTGCCAAATTTTCCTAGAATTTTCTTCAGAGTATTATCTAATCTGTTGGTAAAACATTGCATGGGTAACTAGATGTGATGTGTCAATCTATCGCATTGTTATTAAGGCATATAGAAAAGAAAAAAAAAGTTTTTTTTAATGTTAAGATAAACAAGTGCTTCAGAAAATTCTAGAAAGGACAGTGAATATGCATGAACAGAACGGAGCTAGTCTATTGAGGTTTCCCGTAACATTGTTTGAAATATGAACCTAACTGATGGTGATCACATTCTGCTAATGCATAGTTGCAGTTCACAGACTCCTATGCTATTTTTTCCACCTTAGGAGGCATTTCTAACTAGAAGATGGGAACCAGGCTTCTCAGGCCATCTTCTGCTGTTGCAACGGAACACAGCAGACTGGGGAACTTACTAACAATAGAGCTTTGTTCTGTGCATGGTTCTGCAGGCTGGGAAGCTCAAGGTCAAGGGGCTGCTGACTCCTGGTGAGGGCTTGCCTGCTGCATCACGACATGGTGGAGGGCATGAGAGATCTGGCTGAAGCTACCCTTTCCTTAGGAGCCACTCCCAAGAGAACTAATCCACTCCCACACTCCCATGCATGAGAGGCCTGCTTACTCCTTTGAGGTTCTGCCTGTTTAATATCAGGACCAGGGCATCAGAGGTCAACATGAATTGTGAAGGTACAATTCAAACCACATCACCAGGTGAGCTCCACTTTCTCCAAAGGCAAGACAGGACACTTAACTAAGAATGGAAGACTTGGGCCCGGTGGCGTGGCCTAGCGGCTAAAGTCCTCTCCTTCAACACGCCAGGATCCCATATGGGTGCCGGTTCTAATCCCGGCAGCTCCACTTCCCATCCAGCTCCCTGCTTCTGGCCTGGGAAAGCAGTTAAGGACAGCCCAAAGCCTTGGGACTCTGCATCCATGTGAGAGACCTGGAAGAAGTTCCTGGATCCTGGCTCCGGATTGGCATAGCATCCGCTGTTGCGTTCACTTGGGGAGTGAATCATTGGATGGAAGATCTTTCTTTCTGTATCTCCTCCTCTCTGCATATCTGACTTCCCAATAAAAATAAAATAAATCTTAAAAAAAAAAAAAAGAATGGAAGACTTAACCAGAAGCACAAAGAACATTTCCTGGATGTAGAAACACTGACATTAACCTCTTGCCTCAACAGTGGCTTAGATGGAAGTGGCCTTGTAGATTCTCTGTGTAGAGAAAAGGAGAGCAGAGTGTATACTCTCCTTGAGTTCTCTGATTCCTAGTAGTTCAGAAGGAGAAACTAAAACACACACTTTTCCCACTAAATACCCAGAATGTTAGATGACGCTGCATAGTTGAACAAGAATCCATCCTGGCTATGGACTGATCCTCGCAAGATACAACTCTCAGTGTGATGGGAAAGATGGAACAATTGGGAGGTAATTAACTTAGATCAGGTTGTGATGGAGGGTGGGTGAGACTTGTGTGTGCTCTCATTGGAATAAACCAGAAAGATTTCACTCTCCCTTCCCTCCACACGTCCTAGGATGTTCTCCTCCATGTGAAGGTGCAGTGAGAGAGAAGGCAGCCATCTGCTAGGAAGACAGCTGTCACTGGAATCCAGTCTTTGGGCTGGCACTGTGGTGCAGTGTGCTAAGCCACCACTTGTGACATCTGCTTCCATATCAGAATGCCAGTTCCAGTGCTGGTCACTCTGCTTCCAGTCCGGCTCCCTGATAATAAATCTGCAAAGGCAACAAAGATGGCTCAGCTACCTGGGTCCCTGCCATCCATGTAGCAGACCAGAATGGAGTTGCTGGCTTCCAGCTTGCTGCAGCCTGGGTCAGACCTGGCTGTTGCAGCCATCTGGTAAGTAAAGAGTGGATGGGACAGCCCTCTTCTCTGTGTTGCTAAATTTTCCAAAAGCAAAACAAACAAAAAACTAGAAGCAACCTGGTTCTGCTGGTACCCTGGTCTAAGAAACTGTAACATAAACAGAGCCTGTTCCAGCCACCTTGTCCTGTGGTGCTTGTTACAGTAGCCTGAGCTGCCTCACACTCCCTTTCATGCTTACATCCACAATGGACTCAATAATTTCAAGTGCAAAAACATAAGACGAGTATGGAACAGGTTCTCATGGTAATTGTCTCTTGCCAGTCCTAACCTGGTGCAAGGTGACGGCACCCAGGCCTACATCCTCTTACTGTGCAAAGCAAGTACCCCAGCAAATGCTGAATCAATCCATGGCTATCTTGAACAAGCAGTCTTTACTTGCATTTTGGTCATGAGCAACAGTTTTGCTTTGTTAAAACTGCTTTGCTAAAACTTGCTGTGAACAAATAGAATTATTTTTTCAAATTGTTTTAGAGCACTCTTAGGAATTACCTTGAAAAAGATTTTGTTTTCCTCAACTGCAAAACAGCTTGTCGCAGGATTCCCTGATGTATCAACTTCCCTACCATACTTCAATAAGACATCCTTGGTATTAAGAACACATGTATTAGCTAGCATGAGCCTACCTGTGGAGATTCCAGGCCTGTAGTTTTGTTTCGTTTTACATTATTTGGCATGCGTTTTTTTTTTTTTTTTTCTGGGCAGGCTAGAGACAATGTGAGCAACAGATTTCCTATTCTCATAAACACTGTCTGGCAGGAAATGAGCAGAGAGGCCTTTGGAAAGCAAAGCAGGCTGGGAGTGTATGGGACCTGTCTTCTCCAGGATCGTGAGTCCCAGTGCGTGGCAGACCAACGCAAGCGACATTCAGTACCTTAGTCCCAGAATTTTGTTTAAAAAGGGCATTTCTGTGGCCCGTAAAGGTTCGAGTAAGAATCTTCTACTCCTTTTTTAGCTATAACTCAAAGAAATAAGAAGAAATCTTCAAAAAGAATACAATAGCATTTTAAAGGTATATAGCGTTGAAACAATCATATGTGCCCTCAACACCCCTGAGCTCAGTAAAACAAATCAAGGAGTTGAGTTATTTTTAAAAAATCGATGAAAGGAATGACATATAATTCTCTACAGAGAACAGATGTTGAGTCCTGAGTGCGGCCTCAACGTGTAAGCTATTCTCATGGCAAAGAGGGAATGTGTGACCCGGCTGCCTTACCTCCTATGGAGATGATGGCATCGAAGCCCTGATCCCTAAAGGGGAGATTAAGGTTGTCACATACCATGACTTCACATCCTCTATTCCGGGCAATCTCTACCAATGGCCCGCAGTAGTCACAGCCCAGGGCATGCACCTGGCTGTTCACTTTAAGATACTTCCCAGTTCCACAACCTGCAAGAAAGAAATCTGGGTTACATGTGACCGGTTCACTTGTTTTATACCAAGGACCACAAAGAGTTCTATACCAACTGACCAAAACAGAGCTATTCACAAAAAGCAAAATTAAGAGTTTTTAGCGAGCACCCACATAGCATGTGATGGAAAAAAAGAAATCCCATTTATGCATATTTACTGAGCTCATTTCCATGGGTTTCACAAACAAGCAATCCCAACAGGTGAGCTGGCCCGTGACTGAGAATGACAAGATTGGTTCCAGCATCTCAGGGACGTACGGACAGCAGTCCCTTAACTCCCCATATGGATTCTCTATGTATAAGTGCATATATGTGAAGGCATTTAATGCTTAAGGTTTGTCATTTTAGGCCTGGCACAGTGGCTCAATGGCTCAGTCCTTGCTTTGTATGCTCTGGGATCCCATACGGCCACTGATTTATCTCCTGACTGCTCCACTTCCCATCCAGCTCCCTGCTTGTGGCCTGGGAAAGCAGTGGAGGACAGCCCAGAGCCTTGGGACCCTATACCTGCATGGGAGACCTGGAAGAAGCTCCTGACTCCTGGTTTTGGATCAGAATGAATCAGCACACAGAAGATCTTTATTTCTACCTTTCCTTCTCTCTGTGAATCTGTCTTCCCAATAAAAACAAATCTTAAAAAAAAAAAAAAGAACCTGTCATTTCTCTAAAGATCCTTACCACCTGCTGGCTGTGTACAACAAGGCACTGCTGACAACTTTTCAGTGGCCATGAACAGAATAACTTATACAATAAAACATGCTATTCAGATTTTAAAACTCAGACTGTGAATGAAAAAATAAGTTTTGACATCTATTTATCCAACCTGGGTCAGTGCGAAGTTACAAAGTATGTCAAGGCTGATTTAGATCTCCCATCAGGTTTTGTTTTTTTTTTTAAGATTTATTTATTTTTATTGGAAAGGCAGATGTATAGAGAGGAGGAGAGACAGAGGAAGATCTTCCGTCCGTTGATTCACTCCCCAAGTGACTGCAATGACCGGTGCTGCGCCGATCTGAAGCCAGCAGCCAGGAACCTCCTTCAGGTCTCCCATGTGGGTGCAGGGTCCCAAGGCTTTGGGCCATCCCTGACTACTTTCCCAGGCCACAAGCAGGGAGTTGGATGGAAAATGGAGCTGCCGGGATTAGAACTGGCACTCATATGGGATCCTGGCGCGTTGAAGGCGAGGACCTTAACTGCTACGCTATTGCTTCGGGCCCTCCCATCAGTTCTCATGATGAAGCAAGTAGTCTCCAAAAAGAACAGCTCTTGGAACAAAGCCTATACCTATCTTCTAGCGCCTAGGATGATATTTTACCCAGGACAAATAATCTAATTGGTTTCCCGGAATAGCACAAGAAATCATTAGAGTTGCTATTTGTACCTACTGGCATTCTCTTTTTATTTATTTATTCATTGCCTGAAAAAATATCTACCAGAGGCGGTGCTGTGGCTCGACAGGCCAATCCTCCTCTTGCAAATAGCAGCATCCCATATGGGAGCTGGTTTGTGTTCTGGCTGCTTTACTTCTGATCGAGACCCTGCTTGTGGTTTAGGAAGGCCATGGAGGATGGCCCAAGTCCTTGGACTTCATCACCCACAAGAGAGATCTGAAGGAGGCTCCGCGCCCAAAGCTCTTGGCTTCTGGTTTTGGATTGGCTCAGCTTTGACTGTTGCGGCCATTTGGGAGTGAACCAGTGCATGTTAAATCTATCTCTGTCTCTTCTCTCCTGAAATCTGCCTTTCCAATAAAAATAAATAAATCTTAAAAAAAGAAAAAAATACATCTTCCACCATTCAAATATGATTGTGTTACTGCTGTGGAAATAAATCATGACACTGTTCAATGATTCTTTCCTAGCAAGCACTTTTCAAAATGAGACAATAAATGCAAAATTAAGGACCATTGATGCCAGGTAATTTACTAGCATGCACATGAATAAGAAAAGATTTCCAATACGGTTGTTTCAGTGCAAATCAAGTTGAGCTCTCATAAGCACCATTTCCAATAACTCAGGAAAAGTATCTGCAACTGAGGGTAATGGTGAGGAAAACACAATTCAAAAAGCATTTTAAAATTGAAATCCCATGTATTTCGATGAAAATGACCGTACTTTCAGAAAAATAACCTTGCGATGTGTCTGCCGCTTCACTGGCCTATCGGATACATCTGGAGAAACGATAAGGAAAATCACTTTAAAGGTATTAGGAAAAGCAAGTTCACAGCCTGTGACAGCTGCAAGGAGCTGTTCAGAAGGCATGCGGGAGTAAAGAGGAAAGGAGAGCTGCATCACATGTCCACAGTGAAACGTCACCAGTGTCCTTGGCACCCTCGGCTCACCCAACGTTCATTTCTACCATCATCTGTCTTGAAGATTGTCAGGGAACTCCCAAGAGTGATGCCATCACGCGTTCACTAAGTGCATGCATGAAGATGCTGCAGATGGAAGATTTTACTCTAGTGAGGAAATTGAGACTTCCAGGCCTGGTCGTTCCATGATCTTCAATGCACATAAGGATCTCAATGATGTTGGGTCAAGCTCCAGTACACAGCAACTGTGCTCCCTCACAGAATCCCACACAAGGATAACCTTGCCTGGTACCAATGAGAGAGAACAACATGTCCGCCTGCATACATTCCTCACAGCGTCGATTCCCCATCACACTGTGACCAAAGAAGAAAACATGATTGGTGCAGTTCAACACAGCGTTTTTTGGTCCACAGTGGGCAAACATTTGCTAAAAATAGATTAATTTGAACACTTTCTCTGAAATTCGTTGATGCTTTCTTTTTCTTAATTGGTAATTTTTAGCTAAAAACTGATTTGAAAAAGAATTCTTTTCTGGAGGAAAAAATAGTATGGTGTATTTCTTTAATAGTATAGTGTATTTCTTTAACTATTATCATTATTATTTGAGAGGAAGAGACAGAGAGCTTTCAAACCACCGGCTCACGCCTCAAATGTTCACAATGGCCAGGTCTAGGCCAGACCGAAGTCAGGAGCTATGAATTCAAGCCAGGTCTCTTATGGGAGGTGGGGGTGCAGGCACTCCATTACATGAGCATCACCTGTTGCCTTTCAGAGTTGGCATCAGCCTGACTCCAGACTCAGCATCTGAAGTTGTATATGGAACCCAGGGATCCAACACGGGATGCAACACTAGCTTAAATGCCCACTCCTTCTTTCACATTTTATACATATTCTTGAAGCCACACATGAGGAGGTATTTGTTATTCTCTAAACACAGTACTTGCCATATAATGTGCATTCTAATTTCTGCTTGCTTTAAGGAAAGAATGACAAGAATGAATTAGCCAATCAGATTTGGCCAATGAGAGGGTTTTGGGGCTGCTACACATCCCATGTGGGAAATCCAATAGGAAATGACTGACCTCAGAGTTCTCAGCATCCGAGGGCATTCATATTCCCTGTGATCTTTTTAAAAAGTGTTTATTTTCATCTACTTGAAAAGCAGATGTATGAGAGAGAAGGAGAGAGAGGTACAGGAATAGAGGGAGAGAAAGAGAGAGACACAGAGAGAAATCTTCCATCTACTGGTTCATTCCTAAATGCCTGCAATAGCTACTTCTGGGCCCGGCCAAAACCAGGGGCTGGGACCTCCATCCAGGTCTCCCAGGTGGTGGCAGGGACTCAGGGATTTAAGCCATCATGTGCTACCTTTCAGAATACATTAGCAGGAAGCTAGAGAGGAGGCAGTGTAGCCAGGACATGAACTGGCACTCTGACATGGCATGTGGACATGGAAAACAGTAGTCTTATCTACTGTACCAGCATGCCTGTTCTTGTACTTCTTATTATAATTTCTTATTATATGTGTGTCATATTAGGAGAGGCTGGCCTTTTGTGTCCGTCATCTAGTCCTCTAATTCCATTGTCTAACACTAAAATCTTGCTTCACTAGGAATGTATTTTGGTTTAAGGGATGACAAAGCAGCTCTCTTATAATACATGTTGCTTGTCTCAAAGCCACTTATCTTTTTGTTTGTTTGTTTGTTTGAAGTAGAAAGGCAGATCAGATTTATAGAGAGAAGGAGAGACAGAAAGAAAAATCTTCCATCTGCTGGCTCACTCCCTAAGTGACTGCAACTGCGGGTGCTGAGCTGATCTAAAGCCAGGAGCCAGGAGCTTCTTCTCGGTCTCCCACACGTGTGCAGCGTGCCAAGGCCTTGGGTCGTCCTGTATTGCCTCCCAGGCCATAGGCAGAGAGCTGGATGGGAAGTGGAGCAGCTGGGACATGAATTGGCACCCATATGGGATCCCAGTGCATGCAAAGCGATGATTTAGCCACTGAGACATCAGGCTGGGCCCCTGTCAAAGCCATTTATTACAAACTTCCCACACAATGACTTTAAGCTCCTAGGTGAGAAAAATTCCAGACTCAGTGCACCTTCCGCCATTGGATTTATCTTTCAAAAACTGACAGGACAGAGCTGTTTTTGAAAGACTCTCACCTGTCATGAGCCCTCCCCGCCCCCAATTCCACATTGGCCACACAACCCTTAATGATCCAGAAGCTCTAGACACAGGAGGAGTGTGCACACAGTTCACAAAAATGACTATGATGAAAAGGAAAGCAGGCATAGATTTCCAAATACTTTTTTTTAAATCAAAATAAAAGTATCTTTTAGTTCTTTTTCCTTTCCTCCAACAGTCTGAAGCACTTGCTCACGTCTGCTTCTCCTACCAGTATTTACAGTGAATAGCAAACTCGATGGAATTTATAATTGTAGACTTACCACAACCACTAAAAGGGATTTTAGACGGGCAAAGTGCAAGTGACAACATAGCCACATCTTAAAATGTCACTCTTAGGATTCCGGAACTGTGGTTTACCATGTCCCTGTTTAGAAAGATACTGAACCAAGTCCCCCAGACAAATCAGTGCTTGTGAGACTATTATCTAATTAAACATATGCTGTAGTAATAAAATACTTATGAGATAATTAAGGGAAAGGAGTTGTGAGATTAATGAGACGTAAGAGGACCTCTTCCATAATCTCACAGCTTGGGTCCTGCTGTTGAGGGAATTGGAGTACTCATGAGGTCCCGCCAGCACAAAACAGAAATTACAAATGTACACGTCTCGAAACTGGTCAGTTTCACAAGTGGTCACATGTACCCCGATTTATTTAACCTGTGCCAAGGCAACTTCAGCAGAGGATGTTGACAAGGGCCCTCCAAATATGCTCGCTATCCACCTGTTTGTTTCTGCTCTGAAATGAATATTCTAGATCCTGGCATGCCAAGGCCACCACATCAGACTTTCTACTAAAAACCAAACATTATCTGCAGAGGATGGATGTGATGGAAGAGACTTCACACGACACGGCCCGAGCCCGCATCACCTATGTCAGCGACGAGGCTGCCCGGTTGCTGCTCCTGGAGGAACTGGCGGACCCGGGGCCAGGCTTTGCTCTGCAGGTCGCTGAAGAATGGAGCGGTGCTCTGGTACACAGCATGCACGTGCCGCTTCTCCAGCTGGCTGGCTTCCTGGTCCATGTCGGGGAAGACACGACCCACCTGGGGAAGAAGACAGGTCAGAGGAAGCAGCAGGGACAGCCAAGGGCGGGCGCGTCCACCGCCAGAGTCGTGTTGGCCTTACATGTTCCAAAAGCTACAAGGAAGCCTTCACTACATGCTCACCGCTGAGGCCCCAAGACCAGCCCGTGTATAACCAGTGTCTGTAGGATTTCTAAATGTATAACATGTCATCTGCAGGAAATAAGGGTCTAGCAGGGACAGAGTCAAGGTAACGTAAGATCAATTTTTAATTTTAGAAGCCGGAATTCTTACCAACTGGCTCACTTTGGATAAGATCCTTCTACTAATAAGTAGTTTTTCAGTACCTGGAACTGGTAACTCACCACTCCACTTCAACCCCGAGGTCTTTCTAGTCCTGCTGTTTCAATGTGTTTGGGTACTGTCCATTTCTCTCCATCCCTACTGCTTCTGCTACAGCCAAGGTGTTTATTTCTTTCTTTTGATTTTGGCTAAGCAACTTCAACAGTTTGCAGACAGGTTTTCTAGTTCAGTGATTTTCCCTCTGGTGTGTGTCCTGCTTTTCTAAAATACAAATCGAAAGATGTTTTCTCTTGTACATGCTTCAAAGGCATTTCAGAGTTTGTGCCCTCAAGTTCATCTAGCCGAGAAGGGCATACAAGGCTTTCTGACTTTAATCATCATGAACTTGTTCACAGCTTCTAAAAAAAAAAATCCTAGCATACTCCAAACCGAATTTAAATCTAATTTGCGAGATCTGACAAAACTTCCACCCAAATTGAAACAGCTTATATTGCACCCTCAACTAGAATGTTCAAAGTAAACATATGGCAGGCTTTAACTGTCCCCCACACAGGAAGACTAAACACTGTGTGTGTGTGTTTGTGTGTGCGCGTGTGTGCACGCTTTGCCGTTAAATCATAAGCTCAGTGGCTGCAAGTCCATTTCACATGTTTCCCCTCAAGCAATCCTTTGGCAGCATAACTTAGAAAATCCCGCACATTTGCACTTGCAAAGGCTGTCACTGCTGACAGACTCTTGCAGTCTGCATTTAAGAAAAGGCTCTGAATTTGCAGTAGCCAAACAACAACCCTGGTAGGTTTTTCTCTAGGTCTGTAAGGCACTTCCGGAGAACTTCAAAGTTGACTGGCCTTCACTATTAACAAGAAACCTGAAAGACAGGTACTTGTAAGTTTGTAAGAGGAATTCATTCGCTTCTGCTGTTTTTTTTTTTTAACAGTTGAATTTAAATGTGGTGGAATAAAGAATGTCCAATAAATAGCTAACTGTTAAGACTGGTCTGCAGAACTGGGGTACTCAATATGACATTTCTGAAACTCTGAATTTAAATTTCCTACAATATTTTGCTGATGCATTTCATGTATAGAAACACATTCCTTATGAATCTGGTAAGCACGCTTAAATTAATTAGATCAGTGCAAATACAGGAACGTACCAAGCAAGGGACAGGGGGCTTGGTTTAACCAGGCTTCCTAATCTCTGTGCTGGAATATTTTATGGATCTGGAATTTTAGGGCTAAAACAAGGAATGTGATTGAGACTCAAGGTTAGGAAATGAAGCATAGCAAAAAGAAAGGACTCTTGGAACCGAGTGACCTAGAGTCCCTGCATGGACTCCCACACAGGGCCTACAGTGAGACAGCTAATGACCAGACCTGCCTCAGCCTCTGCCCCTCTACCCTCCACAGCCTCCAGGAAACATGAGTCTGCCCTCGCCCCTGCTTCTGCCCCCATTTCTCACTATAGTTACAGTAATTTTGGAGTGCAATTTCTCTTGATTCACTCAATGGCTAAAAATGGATTGCTGTCACAGACTGCGAGTCACCCCAGCCACGCACCACAGCCATCTGCTGGTCAGGTCCCTCCGCTCCAATTCCCAGGACTGGGTCAGCCGTGCCCAGGGACTCTGGCTGGGAGCTTCTGGCCCCTGGCAGGGTGGCTGGCACTGGCTACGATGAGCAACACTGAGGCTTCCTTCTTTCTTTCCAGTTAAAATACACCCAGCCTCATACGGTTAAGTCTCACAGGTCACATTAGAATTCAGACTGCATAAAACATACTTCTCAGATAACAAGCTTCATGGCAATGACATGCATGAGGCAGGTTAAGAAGGGATTTTGTTTTGTTGTGGGGGATTTTGTTGAATTGGAAATTAGTAAGTAACCATTTTAGAATATTATTTCCTGGGAAAAATAAGAGGCGTTTAAAACATGACAAGATAATTCTTCCCAATAAGTTTGAGAAAGTAGATAGAAAAATCCAACAGGGACACTTTTCTGTGAGTTTCTCAAAATGTGTAGGATGCTGGAGTGTGTTTCAGATCTCAAAAGGACACAGCAGGAGCCTTGGGACTTGAATCCTTAAACATTCTTTACTTAAACTCATTTCTGCTTTTTACGACCATATGTGACAGGCAAACTGATTTCTAACCAAACAACATTTTGAAATGATTATTTTACATAACTAGCATTCAAGGATGCTGCCATATCATGTTGTCATATCTTAACTTCTCCCCATTGTGCAAGCACTCTGCAAAGTTTCCAATGTAATTTTGAAACAAAAAGCTATTGAATGCCAACAGTCCAAAGCAATCATAAACATGATGACAAACACAGAAACAAAAGCGATTAGAGAAAGAGCGAACTATGACAACCCTGGGGAAGGCACAGGAGAGAGCCCTGGATGTGCAATCACGAGGCCGTCTCTCCCATCCCCTTCCAATTCTGCCACCCTGGCATGGGTGTCGACACCCTGTCCCCTGGGTCTTACAGCATGTCGTCTGCAAATCCTTCCCATTTAAACACCAAAAAGTCTCATTTGGGGCTCAGTTCTATTCTCTCACTGCTATTGCCAACATCTGCTCCTCACTCTTCAGAGTTCAAGTTCTTTTCCGTTTGTGTCCCTGAATAATTTTCTGAAAGATTTTCTTCTGAGTATCGGAATCAATCCAGGAAAGACTCGATGAACTCAGTTCTGATGAGTGCTTGCAGGGTTGGAGGTTATGGAGTGAACCGACTGCAGCAGGGTCAGGAGAACCTTCTAGGGTGATGAAATATTCTAGGTCTTGATGGTGGTGAAAGTTGTCACCCAAGACTGATAGGGCTCTTCATCAAAAGTCAACCAACTGTGCACGTGAAAAGGATGAACTGTACACCTCTGCCAGGGAACACCAAAGGCCTGAGCTTTTTATTCTGCTTGCAACAGTTAACTGTTAGCTTTCTAACTGCCTGCCACAGTTCCATGCTATTTGAGACTCCCAAGTCAGGGGCAAGGAATTCTATTACAGCACAGCAGGCAGCACTAGCAGCCAAATGTTGGTCCCATTTGCCCCACGTGTCACAGAAATGATGTAGAGGAGGCCCAGGTGGATGGAGAACCTGCAAAAGTACTCTTGGGGCCCAGTGCAGTAGCCTAGCGGTTAAGATCCTCACCTTGCACACGCTGGGATCCCACATGGACCTAGGTTCTAATTCTGGCAGTCTTGCTTCTTCCTTCCAGCTCCCTGCTTGTGGCCTGGGAAAGCAGTCAAGAATGGCACAAAGCCTTGGGACACTGCAACTGCATGGGAGACCTGAAAGAGGCTCTGTGTTCCTGGCTTCGGATTGGTTCAGCTCCAGCCATTGTGGTGGCTTGGGGAGTGAATCAACAGAGGGAAGTTCTTCCTCTCTGTCTCTCCTCCTCTCTGTATATCTGACTTTGCAATAATAATAATATTAATAAAGGTGTTCTCAGCCAACCTGCCACCTGTCTGTGCTGGAGAGAGGAAATGTACTATCCCTCTGGGAGATCTCCGCTTTTTCCATCTTTCAAGGGCCTTTATGATAAAAGCATCCTTACAGACGGTCTAGGACGAAGGCTGATACACACAGGCAGAAACGGGAACAAAATATGGCTCAAAACAAGAGACCTGGTATGCACTGAGAGAGACAGAGGGGAAAGAACGATCAAAAGCCAGGCATGTGAAGTTGAGAAGGAAGAGGGAATAAATACACAGGCCCTGAGGCTGTAACATGCCTGATGACTGACATGCCAAGTAGCTCTATCTTATTAGTGAGTTAGGAGAAGTAATCGAAAAAACAGAAGGAAGGCTGAGAAAGTTACGTGCTGAAAATCAGAGGAACTAAATTCAGGTTTCAGGTGCAAGAAGAAGGTGGTTTAAGGTTGTATGTCTGCGTGTGTGCACGTTCAAGGGCAACCTGATCGGGTTTACAGCTCTAAAAGACTCCTCTAAGTCCAGATGACTCCAGGTAACTCCAGGTATATGGTAATAACCATGGTTGTAGCTTCCCAACCAAGTTGATCATCCCCCTTCTGATAATTTCTAGGAAGGGCATGTAACCCAGGCGTGGCTGGGTGTGGTATTCCATGGACAGTGACTGGACAGACTCAGTGATATGCAGGGGACGGGTCAGGAGCCCACAGGACCTTCCTGAGACAACTCAGTGCTGAGCTAAGCAAGAAGGGGCTCTGCCTGGCCTCACTGGTCAGGCTGTCGCTTACCATGGCATCTGCCGTATGGAAAAAGGCTATCTGCAGACAGCAGAGAGGAAGTGGTGGCAGTCATTGCGGCACAGTACTCAGGACACCTAGCTCTCATCTTGGGGAGCTGGTTCAATTCCCAGCTACTAGCTTCTCAGTGCAGCTCTGTGCTAATGCATCTGGGAAACAGTAAAGAACAGCTCAAGTATTGAGGTCCCTGCCATCCACCTGCGAGACCCAGAAGAAGTTCTTGGCTTCTGACTTTGCCCTGGTCCAATCTCATTTGCTGTGGACATTTGGAAAGAAAACCAGCAGATGGAAGATCTCTCCTCTCTTCCTCCTTCCTTCCCTCTCAGTCCTCTGGCCTCTCCCCATATTCTTTCTCTCTCTCTCTCATCACTCTGACAACAACAGGGGAAAGAGTCATGGCACCGTGGGGTTCTGGTCCAGGCACTGAGGTTTTGGTTCCTGCTGTCCTGTGGACACTACACCCAACTTCCTTCCCAACTCAGGCTTGGTACCTGCCCCCAACCCTGAGCTTGCTGGGTTTCTGACTTTCCCACCCTAAGAGTCCTCTCTAATTCCCAAATACTTCTTACCCCCAGTGCTTGGGTTTCTGTTTCCTTTTATTTCTGGCCTTCATTTCTCAAAGGACAGAAAAGAGGAGAGAATTAGGAAAACACCAGGAATTCTTTTTTTTTTTAAGATTTATTTTTTATTTTTTATTGGAAAGGCAGATATACAGAGAGGAGAGATATACAGAGAAGATCTTCCATCTGATGATTCACTCCCCAAGTGAGCGCAACGACCGATGCTATGCCGATCTGAAGCCAGGAGCCTCTTCCAGGTCTCCCGCACAGGTGCAGGGTCCCAAAGCCTTGGGCCGTCCTTGACTGCTTTCCCGGGCCACGGGCAGGGAGCTGGAAGAGAAGTGGGGCTGCCGGGATTAGAACCGGCGCCCATATGGGATCCCGGGACGTGCAAGGCGAGGACCTTAACCACTGCGCCACCGCGCTGGGCCCAGCACTAGGAATTCTTATGAACAGACATCCCAGATATCATCACAAATGCTTGCTTTTCCTGTTCTGGGTTTGAAGACAAAGCAATGCAACTTGTTGGGCATTAAACACGATCGAGGGATGTGTGGAGGTGTTGTGAGCCAGTGTGCATGCCCTTGGCATGGAAGCGTCAGCTTGCCACCTGAGCACTCGCGTACAGAGGCAGCAGCGTGTCTAAGCATCCCCCAAAGACAGGATATAGGGCTCAGTGCAGCCCAAAAATATTGGGCATGTGGGTAACCCAAAAGGAAAAACCCTCCTTCCTCTTAGCTGATTAACAAACAACTTGTTACTATGCAAGTGTCTCCTACCTTTTTTCCTAGATAAATATTATGATTTTTTTTTTGCTGATATAAAAATTGAGAGAGAACTGGGAATAATTTAATAAAATTCCAGTCTTAAATGTGTTTATTTATTTATTTACTTACTTAGGCAAGGTGAGAGAGAAAGAGAGAGAGAGAGAGAGAGAGAGAGAGAGAGAGAGAATCATCTATTGGTGAACCCCCCTAATGCCTGAAGGGGATAGGATTGGGCCAGGTCACAGCTGGCCACCAGGAACACAATCCAGGTCTCCCCGTGGGTGGCAGCTGCTCAGTGACTTGAGTCATTGCTGCTGCCTCCCAGGGTCCCTTCAGGAGGAAGCTGCAGCCAGGAACTGAGTCCCAGCATTGAGGCGTGGGACCCATGGGCTTAACTGCCAGTCTCAACAACCACTCTGTTAAACAATACTGTGAGCCAAATAGCAACATTGATCTGAGCTCTTCTTCAATCTCTGCGGTCCTAACATGCCAACTCGGTGGGACTTGAAATGCCTCATGTTCTGCAAACTATTAAGCTGTTAAGTACTTCATCCTGAATAATTCTGCAATAGTTGTAAATATCTGGCATCCAGTTAATGCTTGGGCAGTTCATCTCCGGAGACACACATTTCTAACATAAGAGACGGTGTTGTCAGAAAACAAGACACAGGGGCGAAAACTATGTCCCAGTGAAGTTTCTTTAAGATGACTTACTTATTTGAGAGATAGAGTGACAAAGAGAGAGAGAGACAAAGAGAGAGAAAGAATCTTTCATTTACTGGTTCGTTCCCTAACGGGCCAGGCCAAAGCCAGGAGAACTAAACATTTAAGGCTCCCACAGTGATGGCAAGGGTCCAGTTACTTAGGGTGTCTTTCACTGATTTCCCACATCAATGAGAGAGCTGGACTGGAAGCACAGGAGTCAGGACTTGAACTGGGTCTCCTACATGGGATGCCGACAACGCTAGCACATTGGCTCCCAATGTTGGTCTCTTAAAAAATATATCAATTAAGATAGAATGACATGGCCCTAGCGCAATAGCTTACTGGCTAAGGTCCTTGCCTTGTACCCAAAGGGACCCCATGTGGGCGTGGTTCATATCCTGGCTGCCCCGCCTCCTTTCCAGCTCCCTGCTTGTGATCTGGGAAAGCAATTGAGGACGGCCCAAAGTCTTGGGACCCTGCATCCATGCGGGGGACCCGGAAGAGGCTCTGGGATCCTGGCTTTGTTGGTGCAGCTCTGGCCATTGTGGTCTCTTGGGGTGTGATCCAATGAACGGATCTTCCTCTCGCTCCTCTCCTCTGTATATCCGACTTTCCAATTATTTAAAGAAAAAGGAAGGATGACAAAAAAGGAGTGAAGGATAAGAAAAGAGAAAATGTAAGAAAAGGAGAAGTAAATACATACACACTGAGTGATTATCACGTACTTCCCTACCCATTTGTGCGAAAGAAGCACAGAAAGGGCAATGAAGAAAAGACAAAGATTTAAGAACACACTTTATTTATTTATTTACTTATTTATTTTAGGCGAGAGAACGAACGCAGTCCCCCACTACCACACACTATGCAGTCGAGTTTCCCACATTTGGGGAAATCGCAGGGGTCAGCACATCCCAAGTGCAATGGATGAGCCTCGCCCTGGGAAAGCCAACTGCGTGATCACGGCATCTCCCCTGCCAGGCAAGTATAAGAGCAATCATTTAATAGAGATAAAGAATAAAGAAAAAGGAAAAAGATATAGAATATACTTTCATGTTGATTATTAATTTTAAAAAGATTTTTTGAGGGGAAGGCAGAGTTAGAGACAGAGTGAGAAAGAGAGGGAAGGATGGAAGGAGAGAGAGAAAATTATATTTTTCATCCATTGGTTCGCTCCCTAAATGGCTGTAATGACCAAGGCTGGTCCAGTTTGAAGCCAGGGACCAAGAACTTCATCGGGTCTCCCACATGGTGCAGGGACCCAACGACTTGCGCTATCTTCCACTGCTTCCCCAGGCACATTAGCAGGGAGCTGAGTTGGAGGTGGAGCAGCTGTAACTTGAACTATCACCCATATGGAATGCTGGCACTATAGGCAGCAGCTTTATTCACTATGCCACAGTGCTGGCCCTTGTTTATTAACTTTGTATCTATTCTTTTTTTTGTTGTTTTTTAAAAAAACATTTTATTATTATTATTATCATTTTATGATACAGTTCCATAAGCTCCTGGCATTTCCCTTATCCCCTCTCCAATTCTCTCCCCCCAACCTAGTTCCTCTAGATCATTACTAAATTCATACACAGTCATATGTCCATTATTGCAGGCATGGACAATGGCAGAGTCCAGCATCCTATTGTCAAGAAATAGTGAACAGTTTCATTATAAGTCCATCTTTGTGTGGAAGCAGAAATGCATACTACATTGTATCCTCACATCTGGATATGTTAGTCTCCATTTCACAGCTACTATACATCCCCTTAAATGAAAAGTCATGATACAAAATCAACAATAAAGAGGAAAAATAGAAATTTACAATGCCATGAAGTTAAATGACATGTTACTAGATATGACAGTCTCCATTACACAGCTACTATACATCCCCTTAAATGAAAAGCCACAAAACAAACTTTGTATCTATTCTGATCAGAGTTCAAACCTGTATGTGTGTATTCTAAAATCAATTGTTCATATAATTTACTATTCCTTAATCAGTTGATTTCAACAAGTTCTAATTTCTGCTAGAACAACAAATGAAGTTAAAATTCAAAATAATAAAGTTAAGAAGGTTAAAATCTCTTGCTCTAGAAGTCTAGAATTACATGAATGTCAGAATGTAATATACTACACAATAGGAAATTATTTAAAAGGAAAATTTCAGACAGCTCTACTTGTATGTAAAACATCACATATGTTAAAAATCAAAGCATGAGAAATTGAAAATTTCACTAGAGAACTGGGCTCAGAAGTGCAGACATTCGAAAAGTGTTCTCTGGCACTTAGAAGAAGAATCATGTCCACTGGGGTTTGGTTTTAGCAGCTGTTTATACTCAGTCCACTACTCACAATGCTGCCAACCAATCCCTTTTTCCTGTCTTAGGAAGAGCTAATTTTGTGGTCTGCTGCCAAAGGACTTCGATTATTACAGACTTGCGTGGTTCTTTGTGACCTCAGTGTGCACCTCAGGAAAGCACTGGAGCCACCAGAAGTCCCAAGGGGGCTCACCACAAATGGACTGCAGAGCATCTTGCTGGAGCCACTGCAGAATTATGCTGGGCTGGCAACACCACAGTAAAACCCGGGCTAGCCTAGGAGATCAGAACTGTAATAGGGCAGTCATTGTTATGCTCATGAAGCCACAGTCTAGTATGTGAGCAATTACCATAACTTCTCCCTGGACTCAGTCTCCCTTGCCTTGTTCCCATCCCCATATCCTACTCCCTCTAACACAGCCACAGGTCAGTGAGCCAGCAGCATTCCCTTCTGGAGGCAACAGCAGGCTCTGCAGTAAAGACATTTGTGTCATTCCTGCCTGGTGAGCTATAGTCATTTTTCCCCTAGGAGCTAAAGAACAGCATATTAGAATGCCAATGCTGGATTAACTTTCTTCTAATAGATCTTTGATGATATTCCCTCCGTGATTAAAAACAAACACAAAAATAAACAACAACAACAAAACCCCCCACAAAACCACATCCTTCAAAAAACTTCCACAAGAAAAGCTGGCACTACTTGGTCTCTCGCCAAAGTCCTCCATTACACAGTCCCATCTTCTATGCAGTGATCACCACAACCACTCCAATCCTCAGCTTCCCCTAAAACAACATACTCACTCTTTCCATGTGGGTCTTGCGTATAGTTCCTTATTCAGGTCTTTAATGTCTGTCACTGACGTGTACTACCACCTTTTCCTTCCAAACTCTTGGCAGGTTCAAAGTCTAATGTAGTTGCGTCCCTCTCCATGGCAGTTTCTTGGATAACCATAGAAAGAAAAACATCTGTCCCAGTATCTCTGCAGTCCTCAAATACTACGATCTCTATCATACATAGGGCCTCTGTCCTGCTACCATCTTGAACTCTCAAGTGTGTGAATTCCCAACTGGCTTAGAAACTTGGAAGGTAATGGCTGAAATTCAAACTTTCTTTATATGTAGACAGTCCTTCAATGAGGAAGGCTTACAATTTTTCAACTTTTTGATGTGCAAAGTGAGATGCCTTCAGTGGAAACCGTACTTGGAGTTTTGATCTTTCCCCAGGCCACCACTACATGGTGTACTCATCTCCTGCGACACAGGGCAAGTGACAGTGAATGTACTTCTCGTCAGACCCATGATCACAAGGGAAAGCAGTCACCCTATAGTGTATCCTGCATTGCTGAGCTGGGATCTTCGATAGATTAGGTGCATTCAATGTATGTTTTAAAGGATATACTTACTTATTCAGAAGTCAGAGTTACACAGAGAGGGAGAAAGAAGGAGAGAGACAGAGAGAGAATGTGCCATCTGCTGATTCACTTTCTAGACGGTCACAATGGCCAATGCTGGGTGAGGCTAAAGGCAGCAGCCAAGAGCATCATCTGGTCTCCCATGTGGGTAGCAGAACTCAAACACTTGGATCATATTCTTCTGTTTATTTATTTATTTTTCAAGCCATCAGCAGTGAGCTGCATTGTAAGTAGAGCAGCAGCTGGGATAAAAACTAGCGCCCATATGGAATGCTAGTGTTGTAGGGAGTGGCTTTACTTGCAGAAGGCCAGGCGCTCAGCACATGATTGGCTTATGAAGTTTTCAATTTACAATAATCTTACTGGGATGCAATTGCACTATAAGTCAAGAAGTATCTGTATATGTGCCAGTGCTGGGGTAGGGTTGAGCCTGGAGCATCTTTCAGTAACTAATTATAGAACAAATGAATCAATGAGCACCCTCTGCAAGCTAATTCTCTGTTCCGGACAGGCTAGCCCTCGACTCCCTGGGCATAAATCCTCAGTGCTTCACCGGGGAGGTGGCTTCTAAGCACTTGGAGGGGAGCAGAGCTAACAGAGTCTCCCCCAGCCTCATTCTGTGTTTTATGACTTCCTGCTCCAGGAGAAGCCTGATTTATCGATACATCCAACGGGACACTCAATGGTCACATGTTTATGATGAAAAAACTATAAATGTTACAATTATTTCCAATACCTAAGAAACAGTATACAAGACAAGATACAACTGCCTGAAATTTTGAAGACATCCTCAGACTATAATTCAAAATGAAAGCACAAGTTAAACAGGTCATATGTAGTATCATGTCATTTAACTTCATGGCATTGTAAATTTCTATTTTTCCTCTTTATTGTTGATTTTGTATTATGACTTTTCATTTAAGGGGATGTAGAGTAGCTGTAAAATGGAGACTAACATCCAGATGTGAAGATGCAGTGTAGTATGCATTTCTGCTTCCAGACAAAGATGGACTTACAATGAAACTGTTTACTATATTTTGACAATAGGATGCTGGACTCTGCCATTGTCCATGCCTGCAATGATGGACATATGACTGTGTATGAAGAACTATATTTTAGTAATGATCTAGAGGAACTAGTTGGGGGGGGATTGGGGAGAGGTTAAGGGAAATGCCAGGAGCCTATGGAACTGTATCATAAAATGATAATAATAATAAAAAAAAGTTAAAAAAAAAAGCACACCTCAAAAGGGAAAAAATAAAAAGAATACATAGCTTTTTAAGACCTTCTCATGAACACCACTATGTGATTTTCAGGAACAAGTTACCCTGCAAACTATCACTTAAGTACATATTTTAGTCACAGCAAAACAGCAAAAACATGCTAATACAGTGTTTACTCATCCTGTACAACTATTTTCAAGCACTGCTTTCCCACAAAGTGGGAAAACTCTCATTTTATATCATCACAGATTTGAAAGGAATCAGCTAGCTTAACTAAGATGCACTTTGCCAAAACGCCTCATATTCTTTGCCTTACAGTAACAGCAGAAAATCACCAACCTGACTCATTTGGCGACTCCAGGGATGCTTCTGGGCTTTGTGAACCATGGGGGTCGCCACCCTCAGAGAGGGACAGCTGTTCCTTGGCACAATGTTCCTTGTGTAATGGAAATGAAAACCAGTAGGAGTGACATCAAATAACAATGTCCCTCGCACGACCAACCCCTGAAGTCTCTGAAGGGAATCCAGGCCCTGTCAGGAAGGAAACAAACACGTCACCAGCCAGCCACAGCCCAAGTGGCCCCCTGGACCTACACACACATTCCCCAGAGAGGAACACATGGAATGTGGAATGCACTATTAGACCAGTTCATAAATCAATTGTAAGTTTCCTTTAAAATAATGGTACTTTCCTCCCAAATTAAATTCAAATTACTCCTGAGAAAATTAGAAACATGGAAAGCCAACTCTGAGTTGAGTGGCTTAATCAAAGGTGTACTGACTATTTCAGACAATATTCTCTAAATGCATGAAATAATTCCCACATGATTGGACTGCTCAATATTTCTGTATATTATTATGGCACTCCTAATTATTTTTATTGTTCACATTTTTCTTCTTTTTAAGAGATTGATTTTATTTATTTAAAAGGCATAGTCACAGAGAAAAAGAGAGATAGAGATCTTCCATCTGCTGGTTCACTCACAAAATGAGTGCAATGGCTGAGGCTGGTTCAGGCTGTAGCTGGGAGTCAGGACTTTCATCCAAGTGTCCCCTATGGGTGCAGGGAACCAAGAATTTGTGCCATCTTGCATCAATTTCTCAGGTCCAGGGAGCTGGATTGGACATGGAGCAACCAGGACCAGAACTAGAGTCTGAAGAGGATGTTAGCACTACATGTGACAGCTTAATGTACTATGCTACCCAAGTTCTTGTGTTTCTTTTCTTCGTAGAAGAGTTTGTCGCAACTTGCACGAAGTCTCTTAAAAAAAAAAAGCAGCTGTCATAGAGAGGTATTCATATGTGAGCAACAGAAATCGGTTGTGGTAGAAAAAGTCCATCCTTCAATGCCTCAGGCCTTATATGCTTGCCTGAAAAAAAGGTACTGGATGGGGACCATAACTCAAAGTTACCTCCCTGGTCTCTGTGTAGCTTGTTCCTCTCAGCACTTGCAGCGACACTGGGGATCGCAGGGAAGGATGCATGTGGCCCCTGGCACATTCCACCTGCTCCTGGTCTTGAGCACTATTTAAGAGTCACGTATCTCTCTTGGCTTTAGAACCTGACACATTTACAGAGAGAAGAAGAGACAGAGAGATCTTTCACCCACTCTCTCCTCAAATGGCTGCAGCAGCTGGAAGTTAGCTAAATCTGAAGCCAACATCCAGGAGCTTCTTTTGGTGCAGGGGTTCAAGGACTTGGAGCCTCTTGCTTTCCCAGGCCATAAGCAAGGAGCTGGATTAAAAGTAGAGCAGACAGGATATGAACCAGAGCTCATATAGGTACCCATATACAGCGCCCTATTGAGGCACTGTGCTAGCCCCTCGTCACACACATTTGACCCCAAAGCATCTCTTCATCCCAGGGAGGTACAGGATCTGTGCTACTGAGAGCCACAGAGGCTACTTTTCACAAAGCATATTTTAAAAAGATGCTGAAAGAACCATCACAGTGGCTCATCTTTTCTCACGCACAGTTAGAGTCCACTTTAATTACAAAAGAGATGGCCTCTGTTTACTGAACCTTGTGCCAAGCAAGTCGCTAAATGTGTTTCACTTGGATTTACCGTCCAGGTCCTTACCTGGCCCAGTGGCTGTCTACGCACATTTCCTGCAGGCATGAGTGCCTAAAGCATTTTCCCTCTCAGCTACTGGGGCCAAGTTTTCAAAACCCCAGTAACAACAGCTAAGGAAGGCAATGGCAGACGGTGTAAAAACCATGTGTGGGCCACACGGTTGTTGGGGTGGAGGTGGCAGGCTTGTCTGCATGCTTAAAGCCTACTCTTAAACACCAACACATGTAAGCATCCTCCCTTAGGTTTCCTAAATTGCCTCTGTCTAAAATGTCTGAATCTCACTATCTTCTCCCATAAATCGGTGAGAACAGATAAAACAGGGAGGCTTCTATCTACCAAAAGCTGAATGCTAATGAGTTTTTCCATTATGAGTAGTCAGTGTTAAAAGGAATGCCTTCTTTTTTCCTTCTTTTTTTTTTCTCCCAAAGATTTATTATATTTATGTAACAGAAAGAAGAGGCGAGACAGGGAGAGAAATCTTTTCTAGTGGGACACACACCAAATGGCCATAGGAGCCAGGTCTGGGTCAGACAGGCAAACACACACACACACACACACACACACACACACACACACACACACACACACACAGAGTAATATGGGCCAGATCCTGTTGCAAGCATTTAATGCACACTAACTCACTGACTCTGTATGATGTGGAGACTTCAGTTTCTCCCTGCTTACAGGCACTGAGCACCTGAGAGGCATTCAATCCCAAGGTTACATGGCTAGCATGTGGCAGTCATGATTTGAGCCCAGAATGTTTGACTCCAGAATTCAGTCTTTTGTTTGAAAAGATTTATTTATTTTGATTGGAAAGGCAGAATTGACAGAGAGAAGAAGAGATATCTTTTATCTGCCAGCTTACTCCACAAGCGGCCAGGGTGGCCAGAGCTGTGCCAGGCCAAAGCCAGGATCCAGGAACTTCTTTCTGGGTCTCCCATGAGAGAATACAGGGTCCCAAGGATGTAGGCCATGTTCTGCTGTCGTCCCAAATACATTTGCAGAGATTTGGATTGAAAGTGGACAGCCGGGTCTTGATCTGGTAGCCATATAGGATGCCAGTGCCACAGCTGGAGGCTTAAAACTACTATTCCATGGTGCTGGCCCAACAGACTTCACATTCTTTTTTTTTCATTTAAGATTTATTTGTTTTTATTGGAAAGTCAGATATACAGAGAAGAGAGACAGAGAGGAAGATCTTCCATGTTTTGATTCATTCCCC